CATGAGAGAATTTAAATGATTGTAACTTCCCTTGTATTCACTGTACATGTAGTGGGTCAGGACATGCATATACATTTTGTACCTCTAAAGTTGAGGGCAAGATGTGCCATGCAGACACTGAATTTTTGTTCTTACTTACACTTCTTATTTTTCTGTACTGCCATTGTAGATTCTCTTTGTATTTCACTACTCCTTTTGCGATCACGGCACAGAGGTACCACCATTGTAACAGCTACAATATGAGAAACAGTACTGCACCCAAGGATGCTACTTAACCGTGACCTTCAAGCTGCTGATAAAATAACAGCCCTAGTCAAAGTACATGTACTATACAGGAGAGTCTCTGAACTGACTGTATTACAGTTTTACAAACACTCCAAACTCAAGCGAGAGCACTCCAAGCAAAGCTACACTTTTGGAATGTGTTGATCAAGACAAGATGATAGAAACCAAGCTGCTTTCAAGATGGCCGACAACTTGGGAAAATAGTTGGAAAATCCTACTGGCTTGTGTACTGCAAGGAATATCAACATCAATTGGTGTTGTCTGTATATGCACATATGATTCACACTGTAGAATTGTGTAAATTCATACTTGGTCCCAAATACAATGTAGTTGAACGTATGAAGTTTTGCATCAGGAGAGTACAAGCAGCTGGTGCTTTTTTAAAATCCAACAACAGATGAACAGCTGGGGTTATTTTACACAGAAAAACATTCCACGTTTTATCCCAGAGTTAATAGAATCCCGACAGCCTGTCCTACAGAGAGTTATTCACAGTAATGATGACTTGTATCAGGGTAAATCCTCATAGTCTCAAAGCTTTTGCTGCTGCTGCCACTGAAAACATTTTTCGAGACTGTTAGGCAGTTACACTGCTTTCCAGGGCAAGCCAGGGAAAGACAGACATAATGATAAACTGTTGGTGAAATATGACACTGGTGCAAGGATAGCTGCAGAAACAACTATGGCAATTATGCCCAAGATGCATAGTCAGAAGTCTTGACTGGAACGTTCCATTTATGCACAGGAGGGCACTCAAATAAACTTTGACCTTCTGCTTTGAATAGATTGTGGAAATATCAATCTTTGTAAGCTTACAAGCCAATAGCAATTTCAACTAAATAAGAACTTTCAGCAGGAGAATGAACAGACTAGTACTGTAAAGAAAGAACGGTTCACCTCAGTACAATGGCCTTACCACCCAAGGACAAATGATTCATTCTAAAACTTAAAGGATGCTGGGTAGCTCTTTAAGTTTCCAGCATATGTCAAATGTCATCCTTTTGTCTCTAGAATACCAGGAATTGGATTCACAACTGACAGAGGTCAATATTTAAATGTCCCAGAAAGGGGACGTAACAGTACTAATAGTTGTTATCAGTGTCTGTACAATTACTGAAAAGACAGGGCCCGTGATTGTCCCATTGCCAGAGATTAATTATTAAACTTCACTGTAAAAAAGCTGTAACTTTTTAATGAAATCAAAATAAACAATTGCAATTGAACAAAACAGTGTAACACACACCTTAGTAAACACAGAGTAAATGTTTACAATGAGCACAAAGTTAAGAACAAAACAACAGATTCCACTCACAAAAGGGCAACTTCTGAAAATAAATTTGAATACTAGTACACCATATGAAATGACAATAAATGTAAACCTCATATTTCCATCCTGTTTATTTAATACTGGCATTACAAATTTATTTTAAATGAAGTATAGATGTCAGATTTTAACATTCATGATTGAAATAAGTCATAATAATTTCAGTGTGTAATATAATTTCCATGGTTTGGGGTGAAATATAATAATGAACAGTATCCAACCAAACTTCAAGTTGAGAAATATCATTGCTGGCCCTTCTAATCAACTCTAAATTCTCTACTGTCTGTGTAGAGTTATCTAAACAACTTTAGAAACATTGTGAAATATAAAATTCTATGTCAATCCCAGAAAAGGCAGAATGTTTTGTTACTTGTGAAAACTGATATTGTCATAACACAGCTGTTGTCAAGTTTCTGCCAGTTTATTTATATAATCATATGGGAAACAAATACACAAAGTTCATGAATATTCAACAGAACTAATTGCATTCTTCACTCAAGAAAGAAATACCCTCTTAGAAGATTGTAAATTAGAAATGTGCAGTACAACTAACCGAAAATTTAATATTCATTTGCATCTGTACTGCACTTGCAAAATACTTAAAAAATACAATTTATAAAACCTAATTGTAATACTATTTTTATATACCCTTTGATTTGTTTGTAATTTTGAAACTTTTGTTGTTTTTGTTTATTTGTGTTTGTTTTTTCTGATCTGTATCCTTACCATACAGCACCAACTGATGGTGCAGTTGTGTAATAAAGTTATTATTATTATTATTATTATTATTTTAATATTTTTCTTGAAATCTTTTTCGGTCAATGCTCCCAGATGTTTTTACATGCTACATGAAACCCTACCGGCACTGTATTACTCCCATGAAGAATTTATCACCCTGCCATCAGTATTTGTGTTTTAGAGCAAGTGATGTCATCATTTTGTGTGTTTCAGTGCAAGTGATGTCATCATTCTTTGTGTTGTGTTTTCTGTGCAAGTGATGTCATTATCAGGTAGTACAAGTTTGAGCACAGTCCTGACTGAATTCATTTTCAATCATATTTTACAAGTGCAATCATACATTTACACTCGCATACTAGAACCATTGACTATCCATCATGATGTGAATGATACATACATGGCAGCTTCAGTTACACCTATATGCTACAAACACTTAACAGATTTTGTATGAATTTTACAACTTAAGTGTTATTTTCCCAAATGAGACTTAATTTAGGATAATCATTGGCATGACAGTCCCTGAAATGTTTGATTTTCAGAAGATGTTTTGTTAACCAGAATCAACCTTTAATGAATGTCTGTAAAAAGCATTATTTAATAAATCTTAAACATTGAGCATATATTTTATTGTTAATAAATTCTAATACAAACAAAATTATATCATTATTTTTAAATTTTCACTAGGATGAGAAGCAAAATCTTTGTTTTGGCGAGGAGGGGGGGGGGGGGGTCTAAAGTGACATTTTAATAACCCCCACTTAAAAGACTGAAATGTGATGGTTGAAAATAAATAAGTATACAGTTCTATATTTAAAATACTGCACTTTTTGATACGGGTATATCAGTTGGCCTCTTAAATGTACAAGTCTGTTTAGCAATGCCAGTACCATGAGTCACTCTAATATCAGCAAGTATCCACCCGATGGTATGTAGTAAGTTGAGAGAAATCAGATGCTCATTTGCAAATATTTTTCTTTAAAATATTTTTGTGCCGGGCTGATGGTACAAATAGTGCATTTTGCCACAGAAACCACATACCATGTTCCATGGAACTACATAACCGATGAAAACAAAGCCAGGTTGAAGAAAGGTTCCCCAAAGTCGCTTTCATAATTTAATGAATCCATAGCCAGTAGTTTTGCTCTTCCTGGAGTCTATGGTAATGTACATGTACTCACTCACTTACTCACTCACTCACTCACTCACTTATTAAAACTATGTTGTTGTTGACTACAATAGATGGATTTATGTTGTTCAGACAGTACAGTAATCATATTCAACACCATAAGACATGAAACAACAATAACAAGCATTGATAATGCATAGTCCCCATTAAGTATTAGCTGTGGTCGATGTAAATGTTCAGTACAAGTGACATGTAGAAATGAAAGATCAATGTTTTTTTAACACTAACACAGATTATAGATTGTGTTACTGTCAGTATAGTACCTACGTGGAAATAGCATGAAAGAAAAACGCAGCCAGTCAATGTTGTTGTTCAAAATATGGCTTGCACCGTAATCTAATATGTAAAGTCATCATACAAAGTTTGATTGAAAATGCCCTATTCAACTTTGAAGTGAATCAGGCCCTATCGCCCTGTTCAGCTCCAAGAAACAGTGCCGGACATGTTACAGAATGATATTTTACGTTTTTTGGCAAAATGGCCACCAGTTTGACAAATGTGATCAAATCTCAAAACAAAACATGTGCTTGTGTTACCTTGCAGTATACTACCTATGTACAAACTTTCAAGTGAATCAGGCCATATCTTTCAGGGGAATCAGCACAAAAAAGGTTAAAAACAAAATGACCGCCAGTCAGCCGGCCATTCTGGTCCACATTTTTAAAAAAATATGACGTGCACGTGTAACCCAATATACATGATCATTATACAAAGTTTGATTGAAATCGCCCTATTCAGCCCTGAGAAACAGTTCTGGACACATGATTTTAAGATATTAAACAAAATGGCCGCCATTTCGTCAAGTTTGATAAAATCTCAAAACAAAACATGG